AATAGAGAGACAGACAGGTTGGACAGGACTATCAGATAGCTTCCAATTAGACCTATTAGAATTCATAGGCGATTTCACCTGCAGGTCACAATCGACACCGGCCGGTGGCTATGAGGTAAAAATTGGCCATGGGCTCACCCGCCAAATGTGGCTATCAGTACAGCCCTAGACTTCAGCCATGGTACACATGCAGGGTGATTTTTTATTCATGGGACCAATATAAATACTTATCATCTTGAAACAAATGAAGTTAAGTACATGACATTTTGCCTCAAGAATCCATAAACATGGGAAAGTTATTCTCCATGAAAAAAAGTTAAATGTGCCCTAGTCTGTGCGATATCACATGTCGTAGACATGTGGTGTAAGTCTGTACTACGACCGTAGATAATTCAAAGAAATGGAGTAGACTTCACGTTATGTGGCTGCCTTCCGGTCTCACGAAGCGCATGGATTAATGTAGAAGAATTGTTCTTTAGGTATCCCCCAAGGAAATTGTCACGAGGATTGAGGCCGGGGGGCAATGGTGGTCATACCAACACAGTGATAGTTGTGTTAGACTTCCTGCATGAGAACTTCGGTACCAGAACACTGCCTACTAGATTCACTGGTGTCCACAAACCAGTCCATGGAATCCATTGCCTCCTGATCTCAATCCATGTGATTATTTCCTCTCGGGAGACCTAGAGGACAAAGTCTTCGAGTCAAATCCCTGTACGTTGGGAAACCTGAGGGCGATCACAGAACGTGAAGTCAACTCCATTTCTCGGTATAATCTCCAGCTGTAGTGCAAAATTACACCAAACGCCTACGACATGTGATTGGGCACAGATGAGGGCACATTTAACTTCTTTTCATGGAGAATAACTTTCCCATTTTCCCAACTCTCCCATGGATTGATTCATTCACTCTCCCATTGATTTGGAATCTCATGCATCTAACTCTATTTATTCAAAGATCATAAATATTCATAATGTGCCCATGAATACAAAATTACCTTGAAACTTTTGGTGCATGCAGTCAACTCAAGGGCGCATGATCTCTTCAGTGTTGCTTTCTAACGGTGGAACGTTCGACTATTCCTTAAACGTTAAACCAAAAAAGGCGTAAGGCTTTGCTTTAAAAATTCACGTACGAAAGGGTTAATGGCTTCCTCGAGCTATCCTAATAGCAACCGATGACGATTCTACTCGTGCTCGCTTCGCATTAGAATGGAGCGAGTTTCGCTTGCACATCTCGGGGATTGTTCCCCCTCGAGCGGTAGGTCAATTCTAACACCATTTTGGCCGTGGGTCTACCGGGTGTTGCACATAGAGAGCCCCCCTCCACAGCCTAAACTATAAAAGCTAGGGAAAAGTTCTTATCATGAGAAAGAGCATTCATTCTCGAATCTAAACATGTACTTCTAGTCATTTGGTGATGTTGCTTTGCAAGACTTCTCGGGAGAATCCATGCTGCCTGCACTTCATATATTTGATCTTTCAAGATTACCCCAATGTTCTCAAGCTACATTCATATCAAGAGAGTTTCCCAGTAATTCCGCATTTCCGAAGAAATCGATCCCTGAGGGTGGATTTTTTAACATAATTATTCGATAATGCAGTTTTATCCCAGGGAAAATACATGATATTTCCTGGAAATAAGGGAGCACTATCGGATAGTTCTCTGTTCTAAAATCCACCCTGAGTCTTTCAGCATTTTGCTGTGTGATCAAAGCTTTGGAAAACAGGGCTTTATCAGGCAGAAGCTGAACGTTTAATCTTTTTTGAAACCCATGAATGAGTAACGAATTCAGCTCTGGCATCACAAGCTTCTCAAAACGTAATAGCACGGATGTATGATCGATGAATATAAGTTTTTCAACATCAAACGACATCAGAAACAACAAAATGAATTGAATTGAACCAAAATTGAACAATGATTCCAAAAATATTTAAACACTTTCTTTAGCTCCTAGAGTTTAGGCTATGGAGGGGGGGGGGTAGTCTATGTGCAACATCCGGGTACATTGCATGGTGATAACGCGGATGACGCAATCTTGAGTGCTGCTTCGGCAACAGGCACTCCACAGCTCGTTAAGCGTGACGTCGAACATCGAATAGGTCACTTTTACAGGACTCACGTTAATCCTTTCATGCCCAAGTGCGCCATATAGTGCGCTTTTGCTATCGCGTCGTTTTTTTTTTCATTTTTCTTTGTATTTCCGAGTTTGTTCGTATGATGGCAGCACTCATCAAGGTTACGAGGAGTTTACGAGTGACTACGTGCGTGATGTAACGCTTGATTTTATGGAAGGGTGCAATTTTGTTTGCTGGAACCTAAAAATGGCTTGAGTACTAAAAGGTTAAAGACCGCATTCATCTGCATCGGCTCTCCAAAGATCAGGAAAATCGGGAAACTACCGTCTAATGCAACGTTGGCTGCAGGAGAAACTGACGCGAAGCTGGAATTTATTTCGTCTCGTCGTTTGCGTGAAGTTCTATTACGAAACATGTTCCTGCAAAGATACGAGAAATGTCCATCAGGTGACAGGTGATTGCAGCAGCGTGCTGGATATTCCACCTTTTTTTGCCATACGCCGTTCCAGGTCGTCTGAGTGGAGGGCGTGGCAACGTTCCGGGCAAACACTTTTTCCAGTAATAAATAGGAAATTGGGTTTGATTCTCAGTTACTGGCATTCTTCTCATTCGAATTTTGTGCACTCGTGTCGAGGATCTGGAAATTTAAATTTCCAACATATTTTACTCTGCATTTTCGGGTGACGTTCGGTGGGACGAAGCGCTCGCCTCTTTCCCTCAGAAACTATGAAAGTTGCTCAAATTCTACCTGTAACAGTTTGCAGTAAAAATATCAAAATTAAAGTCCATTTTTATAAAACAATGGACGAGAGATCCTCCGTGGGAGACGCGGCTCCTTGAGCAGCGTCTCTCACGGCAGGAAGAATCAATGGAAAATCTATCAATCCCCTATTGCTAATCGAGACAAAAGATAGAATACATTAAATTTTCCATCATTCATGATGGCAATTGAAATTTTTTTCCATCATAACGGTCCTTGCCCGCGGGCGTTAAGATGATGAATTCAGAGTTAGATCCAGAAAATAAATTTAAAACAGGACAGAACAGCTGGTTGAACCGATGGTCATGGGACAATGGCTTCATGGTAATAGGACTTGAAATCAAAGCGACACGGTGGAAGGTGAAAGGTCCAAAGTGGTAGGTGGACGAATCCGAACAGTAGACCTGTGCGGTGACAGCTGGGCAAGGCAACAAGAGAAGGTTCTATCATCTGCCTGAAATCGTGCGGAAACCGTGATTCACACTAAATCCGAGAGATGTCGGGAGGAGTCAACTCCGCCCACGTCGTGCATGCCGGCTCTGTCGGCGATAGAGTCATCACCGATATGGGTTACCGTCAGCCATCATCATCGAGACCGGATAGACCGACATCCCAACCATTGAAAAACGGCTGAAAGAAATTCGAAGCTTATCTTGCAGTGCCTCCACCTCCATTCAATGGATCCGAACCAATGAAGTGATGAACCGTCATGGAATCCATCGCATCTTGTTCATAATTTCACTCCAAGTAAACGTGCTGCAGTCTCCATTACATTGCAGTTATAGCATAGCTGTAAATGTTGCTATGGCAAGACAGGTGGTGAATGATGAAGGCAAATAAATCAAGCGATGCAGTCAGCTCCAATAGACTTCGAGGCAGCACTTCGATCGCATATCTGGATTGTGTCTGCTCAAGTGTACATTCAGCCCACTCACCCCAAATAGTAGGCCCTCAGCAGTTGAGAGAGAGAGAGAACATCGCTTGTGGATGTGCGTTGTGATGGAGGACAAGGACTTCTCTTGCCTAATAAGAAGACTGATGCGGCCTTGGTGCATTCTTTTGCGACCCAAGTCATGACAAGAAGCACTGTGCAACGATGACTCAGGTCACGACCCGAATAACGACTCAATGTGCCCATAATGGAACGTTAAACTTACGCATCTCGGTTGAGTTCCCCATAGCGACTAGTACTTGGGTCGATTCTCTTCATCATAATGGTCGGGCATACGAAGGGATCACAATAGGCATGATGCTGGATAGAGAAAGGTACAGTAGTTGGAAAGGATGAGGAGGAAGATGAAATTTCCTGTCCTCGCCATTGTGATATGAAGTCTATTATCATCGCTGGGACTCCACCCGTCCACAATATGTATCCACCTATTGTTTCTCTCTCATCCTCTTTTGTCACCTCATTCTCCTCTCCATACACCTCTCTCTCTCACATTTCGATTCAAAACCTCAAATGGAAACGTGTACATTTTGTGCTTCGTACTTCCAGTCGGGAATATATCCATGAATCTATATCAAAAGACACTGGACTCAAGAGTAGGTGTCTCTGCGGAATGACATGGACTGAATTTGCATGTTTACCGAATTTCCTTTCTGTGGGTCGTTGCATGGATCTATCGATGTGCGGGTAAAGGTGATGAAATCCACGTCCATATTTCATGAACATTCTCGTCAAGACTCAGGGTGTGTCGAAGTCGATGCAATTGAGGATCATTATTCCGATCGTTGTATGTGGTGTATTGTTTGTGTGCAAGGCACAAGACTGATGGATGACCGGAAAAGGCGTACATTTAACAGGCGTTTAACGTTTCCATGGCCTTGCATGCCTCGCTGCATCCTGCTCCACAAAATGAAACAATGATTTTTTTTTCCTGTCTCTCTGTTCTTTTCCTCTCCAATCTCGTTTAATAACATTTTCAGTACTCATCAACTGAACACATAAATAGGTCAGCTGCGTGGGGGGGAGACCGATTCCATATAATGGACACATAATAAGTCCCATATACCTCAAAGTCACTATTTTATATGACTGACCGCGAATACTACTCTCGTATCACAGCGTAATGTCCGAAATACTGCGAATCCGAAAACACCACCAGAGAATGCTGTTGTATAAGGATGCTACACGATTAGTGAATCCAGGATGGAGACACTCAAGAGAAAATGACGGACAGAGGTCGTCTCAGAGGATCTTGAGAGCTGGGAGAATAGGAGGCTCCATAAGCGGCAGCAGCAGACATGAGATGAGGACTTGCAGCCGCCGACGAGTGAAGACTAGCCATGCTGTTGACGGCAGCAGCCGCCGGAGAATAGAGGGAGGAGAACGGCGGGACGTAAAACGGGGAAGTACATACGGAGGACGCGACGGACGTGACTTTGGCATCTGTCGGATTCCCACCGGACGGGGAAGTCTTCTCGGGAGTGAAACTGGTGAAGAAGGAACGGACCTTTTCCATGTCGGAGGGATCCGGTGGTGAGGAGCTCGTCGTCGCAGTGCTCGTCACGAGACTCCCGGCTGAAACCGTGTGTGGAGGCGGAGGGAAGCTGGGGTGATGGATGGGGAACGACGTCGGGTACATCGGACGAGGCATCCCAAATGGATCCATCGGAGCCGGCAGATACGGAAAAGAATACGGATAACCGTCCTTCTTGATCGTCTTGGGTTTCCGACGAGGTCGATACTTGTAATCCGGGTGATCCTTCATGTGTTGAGCCCGAAGTCTCTTCGCTTCGTCTATGAAGGGTCTCTTCTCGGAATCCGTGAGGAGTTTCCATTCCGCACCGAGCCGTTTGGAGATCTCGGAGTTATGCATTTTCGGGTTCTCGAGGGCGATCTTGCGACGTTGGATTCGGGACCAGACCATGAAGGCGTTCATGGGTCGTTTGATGTGTTCGTCCTTCACCGTCATGGGGATTCCCAATGCAGCACTGGATGTCATGGACAATCCACCGGCGACTCCTGGGTTCATCATCATCGTAACGGAAGAAAACCACGATGACGAGCCAGGCAATTTTATGGTAGTTAATCGGAGCGCTGAGTGCCACTGACACAGGAGAAGTAGACAGAGCCTGAATGCAACCATGTGTCGTATATGAAAGGCTTTTTATGATCGGCTTGTGGGCGGGCCTTGGGAACGTCCAATAGGAGCTCGTCTTGGATCCGGAGGCCCCGCCCACTTCCTATTCTTCTCATTCATACCATTGAGAATCTGTTTCTGGTCTTGAATAGGAAGGATATTATGGCCGGGCTTTTGGGGGGGTCCCTGAAAAGCCCCTGCCATTACAATAGAAAAGCCAGCAGCGGCGACAATGAATAGAGAGAGAAGGAATTCATTCTGTCCAAACATGAAGCTTCCGTTCCATCAATGCACATCCATTATCGTTTTTCTTTCCTCGCCATCCACGTGCACTCCTGTAGCCACTTTCAGAGGCGATTGTGTTTTTTTTTTTCTTTCGGTTCCGGAGAATGTAAAGTATAAGAGGAACGGGATGAAGTCCAGGGAGAGGAGGCCCTTGAAACAATGGCATTCATCACGAAGGAGCCCCTCTTTTAATCGAATGAATAGAGGCCAAGATCCGCAAACTTATCCTCACACTTCTTTTCTCCTCTTTTCGGAGTCCTTTTTGACCTCGCATTTGAGCCGTGGTGTACATACAGGGCTTAGAAAAACATGGAAGGGACATTGAAGCGAGGAGGCAGTGATTCTTCATGGTCTCCGTCCCTATGAGAAACCATTATAATACAGCTGCGGCGACTTAATTCGCATGCATGCAGCTTTGACTTTTTTTCTCCTTTTATAATGGTCTCTCTTTCGCCTTCGGAAGCGGAACAGGTATGCCGCTTTTGTGGCCCTAAGGGTTTTTTTATGCGGCTCATTTTGCATTTTTCAGCTGGCTTGCCCATTTTCTCGTTTCTATAGTCGGAGTCGGGAGGAAACGAAAGTGAAGAGCAGCACGAAGCTCGAGGAATTTTCGGCGGCCCGCCTTCACGGGGAACTCCTTCAAAATGTAAACATTCCTCGAGTGTGAGATTCCCATTTTTCATTGGTTTCTTACTGCGGGATACGCATTCCTTCCGTGCCAAGGTTAATTTTTTCGACGTATCTGCCACGACGCAAGTCGTTCGTTACATTAAAATAATATGGAAATCCACCAATTCGTTTTCGACTCCTTCCGAAAAGAGCGATGGAATCACAGCCTGCACGATACTTGCACGACTGCGGATCCTGACAGCTGCAGACAGACGCAGGTGTTGCATTTTTTTATAAGTTTCCTTCACCACGAATCACTTTTCGACGAAATGATGTCCACTTTCTTGGCAAACTCATCAAAGAAAGTCCACGAGCTGCATACTGCACTCCATCCATCGCCTTTTCTTCTGCTACCGGGTCGAGAATGACATACAAGCGACAGTGTTTCGAACACGTTTCTGGAACGAGTTTCTTTACTTTCCCCGAATTGCGAGCAAGTACGATTAGCTAGAAATGCTGAGATCTTCGGATGCCCACGCCTTCCCCTCTCGTCTTCGATCGAACGTCTGAACGACCACGAAGGAGAAACTTGACTTAGGATCGACCGTCTTACGCGTCTCGACGAATCGGAGATCCTTCGTCGTTTTCCAACCCCTCTATCGTGCGATACCTCCCCAGGTGAGGGGTGCTAATCACGTGACCCCGACGATCTGGGGAAGCGAATCGGGGAGAGCGGTAGGCACAGTGTGCTAGGAAAGACTCCCTGTGGTACTCGGCCGGTACTTCCCTGGATTCCACCCTTTCTCTCCATTCAATACCGAAGTTTCAAGACTCTCTTCCTGCCACGCAACGTCTACCGCATGTAATTTCCTGCGTGTTCCCACCGAGTCGACAGGAATGTCGACATCACGCCGTTCTGCATAGAAGGGGATATCCATTCCATCCCTATTGATCTCCGGTTCGACATTAGCGAGTCCGAATGCGATCCCTTACAACGCCCTGCCGCCTACGACGGAGCTACGCAACTGGAAACAGCGTTGCCACCGGAAACTCCAGTTTCCCTCCCCTTTTCACTTAGAGAAGAGAGGAAAATTACTCCAATTTTCTTTTCTTTTTCCTCTTCCAGAAAAAGAGACGAAAAGTGAGCTAAAGAAACAGGAAAAAACTGGAGTTAGTGCTCGCCTCGTTCTTCTTTCTCTTTTCCTATTCCCTCTTTCCCCCGAGACCCCCGAGAGTGTATGGCTAGACTCGTCATCTCCCCTGCCGCCCGCGCGGTGCAGTCCATTCGACCTCGATTCCTACGCTCTCAACTTCCCACGAAGCTCGCGGACGTTCGCCTGACGTTTCCGAAGCAACGCGCCATTCTTAATCGTGTCGATCCGTGGAACGTCTTTATTCTCTTTGGTTCTTCCCTATTGCTCTTTTTTTGTCACATCTTTCGCGCCGTCCGCCTCGGGCCTCGCCCAACAGATAGAGCTCTCTACTTGGAGGTGGCTGTCAGAAACCATCTGTGCTTCCTGACATCACAGACACCTGGCACATCTTCATCTTTGCTCCTTGGGTGTTTCCTGCCTTCGGGACTCCTTCGGTTTCTTTCACGTCGAGCACGTACCCACCCTACCACTCCTCGTAGCCTATCCTCACTCTCCCACTGTTGGATTCTGGAAGCTGCAGATCACTTGGCAGAGCAGAGAGAAAACACGAAAGCCATCGAGGTCACGGGCCATCGAGTGATATTTTCCAGAGAGCAAGTCGACGATGGAAAGATAGAAAGTGGTGGGATTCAGGTCCCGAATTCGACCTGGACCATAATCATCCTGGTCATCCTGCGTTTCATTCTTCAGCTCTCCTTTCTAACCATTCCATTCACTTTATTTTCATTCACTGTTGTTTTTATTTCGCGCATTCGATTTTCAACCTCTTGCGAAGAGAGATTGAAAATAGTTTATTTATTTATTAATAGCTACTCACCGATCTTGCATGACCAATTGGGATGAAAGAAAACTTCATCTGGTGCAAAACTTTGTTCTGAGGCATTCTTAGAAAAAGGCCAAAGAAAATGATTTTGTCTACTGTCATCTCCATACTCGGTTACTCTTTGCCTCTCTGTGCTTCTCACAACTTAGACCCAAATCGATTTCGGTCACGTTTTTCGCCCTTTCGTGACTGGTAATCAATGCACATGTTTTCTTTATATATATATATATATATATATATATATATATAGGGTGATTCAAAAGTCACATACTTTTTTTTTGGTGCCGCCCCACACTAATATTACACCAAACTGCTCAGGAGGAGCAGACAAATCGATTGATACCATATACGGCACCAAAAAATGTTGGTGTCTTTTGAATCACCTATATAGCTCTATATATAGCTACGTTGTGAAGTTCGTTTCAAATTTTTAACTGAAAATTCAACGTTTTAAAGCTTCATAGCACATAAAATGATATAAATTCTCGAATTCTCGGTTGTCAATTTACGTACTTTTCTCATAAAATAACTTTCTATTAATTTAATTAAACTTTCTATTAATTTGGTGCATATTTTCTCTGTATCACCATTAATATATTTTTTTATTATTTCAACAGAACTGTGCGCAAGATCACCTGAAACGGCAAGGAAACCTCCTCGGGAAAATTAAATTCCCCTGCAATTTGAATATTATAAAGTTTATAGCACAAGACAGTTCTATTAGAGGGCTTTTTCTATCTTAAAAGTAGCCTAATTTAAAAAAAAATTCCGCAATACAAAAACCAAGAATAATGGAGATGAAGAATAAACAATGCACCCAGTGGATATTTGATGGAAGACTACATTCACGTTATTCATGTAATGTCAAGTTATAGTCCATTTTTGCTTTGGAAACATCAATTGAAAGATGCCTAACTCGGGTTGTCACAATACTGATAGAGGATTTTCTCCCAACATTGCTGCCTTGAGAAGTGAATTACTTTGTTTGCCCCGAATAGGGTATGGGAGGGGGGGGGGGGAGGAATAATTTTTCCTTTCCATATATGTTGCAAGAATAAGAATTTTAAGATTTGAGGGCCGAGGCTTTTCCACCACGAATGCACGAATGCGACTTGTAGGCTGTCTCTATCGTGCTTCTCATGTTCTCTTTTCACTAAAAATGTTTTATACGATACCGTCCGGAATCTTTAGACCGAGTGACTCGAAACCTCTGATCCTCCCAAAAACGTCATCCAGATGCGATGCATAAAACCCAAAATGTATCCTGAATGCAAGGACTAAACCAGATGTACGAGAAAGAGCAAGTGGCGATGCCTAAAAAAAAAATCCCGACCTGACTTGTTTTCTTTAAAAGATCGATTCGACCGTAGAAGAGCATCACATCCATTCTCGACCCATCGTTTGTCCGACTCGTTGAACGATCGTCCCATGTGCCGATCCTCTCAGAGTGTGCAGAGGGATAAGTGAGGACCAGGGCACCTCTTAAAGTCGAATTTCCGAAACCGAATCGCGAGATAACGAGTGGCAACCGATATGGAGCAGCCCCTCGACGACCTGGAGCAACGACCTTCTGGTGGAATCTCTGTCCTCATGTGAACCCTATCCCCTCGAGAATTTCATCGTTCGAGTATTCGATTACGAGGAAGGGACTCGAGGCGGAGGTAGAGGAGGATCGACTCCCAGGCCTCCATTCCCTCTTCGACGAGAACGGTAATGTGGACGAGGAGACTTCTTAGTTCCTGCCGAGCGAAAGGTCGGAAGGAAAGAGAATCTAGTCCCCGATCTGACCTTTGTTTCCGGGGAGGAAATTCTTGCTCTACCCGCGAAAGTGAGTCTAACAGTGCAACCTGCTTCCTCTTTAAAGCCCCACCATTAGTGCTCTCACCATCCAGCTCCTGCTTCCATTCCATATCACATGCCTTGCCTCTTGGTGATTTCATTCACGTCTTCCACCGGTAAGCCTACTTCACCCCTATTGGAACCAGCGGACAACACTTAGGCGTGGATGGAGGATCCTCGAGGGTGAC